ACTTCGCTTCTCACCCAATGTACCTCTCAGCAGCATCTGACAGCAACCATTCGTTTTCCTCCAGACGCTCACTTTCTAAGCTACAGTGACCCCAAACATTCCTCCACATTCTTCTCATTTTCCACCAGCCTCAATCTCCTCAGTGGGCTTCTCAGTCTCCTTTGTGCACTTATTTCCCTCTGCCTGATCTTTAGTCCTTGGGGTTCCTTCGGGTTTAGTACGAGGCCCCCAATTCTTCTCACTCTGCGCTCTCCTTCCACAGGCCAGCTTCAATTGCAAACATATACCCTAGGCATGACTTCTCTACTCTCCATACCCAAAATAGCAACTGAGATGTCTCAAAGATCCCTCAAATTCAACATGCCTAAAACTGAATTCATTATTCCTTCCAAACTGTTGAACCCCCTTGTTTCTGTAAATGACCCCACCTCTGAACCAAAACTTTAAGAGGCATCTTTTACACCTTTCCCTGAGCCCACTCAGCTAATCAGTTACCAAGACTTGTTCATTCTACCATCGAAACACGGTTCAGAAACATCTTCTCCCCACTTCTTCTGATGCCACCGTGTTGAGGGCCTTGACTTCAATGACACCGGACTCTCCTGGGTTTTCCCCATCGTACACCAACACTTGTCTTCCCTACGGCTTCATTTCTCTCTCCCTGGCCACAAAATGCCAGAGTTCCTCAAAATTGAGGCAGAGGCTTTTTCTTGCTCTCATTGTACTCTGAGCTCATAAGTTAACTCAAACTCAATCACCGTTTCAAGCACCCTCTATTGCCCAGGGTCTCCCAGATTCACATTTCATATCTAGTCTGTATTATGAGGGGCGGTACTCCAAATCTAAGAGGCTACTTGACATCTCCACTTAGATATCGGGGTCAGCCAAAGACAACTGAATTTAACTAATCTAAAACCAAATTTATACCATTTCCCAAATATGACCTCCTTCCAGTGTCATACCTCAGTGAATGCTAGCTCTGTCCATTCCAGAGCAAGCCACAAACCCAGCAAGCATCCTTGATAATTCCATCTCTTTTATCTTCCATATCTAATCCATCTCCAAGTCCTGCTGCTTTTATCTCCCAAATGTCTCTGAAACCGGTTCCCGTTACTGATCTAGCCAAGTCATTCATGCCTCATTAACTGGAAGTCTGCTCTGACCAGGCACTGTTTTAAAAACTGGGGGAATGGGGACAAATGACACAGACAACCCAGCACAAAGGAGTTCACAATTGAGAGGAAGAGATAGATAACAAATAAACATATACTATTACAGAAAATAAAGCGTGGTGAGGGGATGAATGTGGAGGATGGAGGGCTGTGTTTACATGAGCTGTGCGTTCAAGGAAGTACCATCTGGGCAGCAACACGAGGAAGTGAGTCACATGGGCTCATGGTCGTCTGTTCAGAAGAATAGACCTGAGGTGGAAGCCTGCTGGGCCTGCCCGATGAACTGCAAGGCAGCCAGAGTGACAAGTCCTCGAGTAAAGGGCAGAGCGGAGGGAGATGACAGTGAAGAGGCAGCCAGGGCTGGACTGGGTGGCCTCTGAAGGCCACATTGGGGACTGGACTATGCTCTGTGTGCTGGCAACACTGGGAGTGAGAGAAACTGATTTACATTTTAATTGGATCATTCTGGCAGCTCCAAGGAGAGTGGAGTTTTGTGGCAGGAGGGTGGGTGAAGAGCCCACATGGGATCTTGGTTGGGGAGGGCAGAAGACAAGATCAAGACTACCAAACATATTATCCCAGCTACAGAGCATTTGGGCTCCACTTTCTGTGTTAGGAATTCACTCATTAAAACCACTGCATCAAGTTCACCAGACTGCCATCCCAATGGCACATTTGTGCAAATTAGAAAATGACGCCCTGCCCTCTGCACAGCAGCCCCAGCAAATCTGGGTGAGTGGAAGGCAGCCCTCCAACCCCCCAAGCTGACCACCCTGCACATGTTCAGTCCACCCCACAAGGCTTCCTGCATTAAGTAACACAGAAAGAGAAAAAGATAAGCAAACACTTTTTCATTGGAGGTGATGGTTCACCTAGGCCATCCCTGGATTTAAAATTTTAGATTTCACATTTTAGATGTCACATTTGGGTGTAAAGCAAACTCATGAGATGTACAAGTTGGTTTAATCGCATTATTCCTATAACAACCATTCCAGAAGAGCACAACCTCTTCTGGATTAGACTTTGGGCACATTTTTTAAGCAAGAGACTAATGTGACGCACATCCTTTGAGCCATCTCCTCCCGTCTCTCAATTTAAAATGTACACACCCATGGATGACACAGCTTGTTTTTCTTTTTGTTTTTACTTTTCCTATTTGTGAATTGTTTCGAAGCAAAAATAATTTTTTAAACTACATTTTGAGACAACTAGAGGTTCTAGGAGTGCCACCCTGGAGCAGAAGCTTGTCGGTCACCGGCTGTGTGAAGGGTAGGCTTGGGTTCTGGTCTAGAGGAAATGCTCTGAGGTGCTTCCCAGAACACACAGGTCCTTCCCCCCAGGCTCCCAGGAAGGGAGCTGTTTTAAGGCCGCTTTAGTCTAGGCAGATGGGGGGCTCACCAGGGTGCAGGATGGGCACAACCACACGTCACGTCAGCACTCCCAGGACACGCCACCTGACTTTCCTCTTGGAGGGAGGAGGAGGCTCGTCCCATCCAGAGAAGCGCACATACTGCTCGCTCTGATGGCCTTGTTTCCTTCAGACATCCACTCACTGTTCCTTCAAGTCTTCCCAAACTCGAGACGTGCGAGCTGAGGGCTCATCACCAGGGGGCTGCAACATCGCACTGGACAGCTGTGGACTCCAGTCATACCCTCTACTCCTGTTAATCCAGCTAATGCATGGTCACTCGGGAAGAGACACTCACTCGACCAGCAGAGGCTCTGGGGTGCAGGGAAGGGATTGTCTTCTCCTCTGATCTTTCGGTCAGGTTCAGCCCACAACGACCGCGGGATGGCATCCCCTAACTCAAAACTGGTTCTCTGACGCCAGCACTCCATTGACTGTGTGGTGACCTCCACCACTTTCCACAAAATGAGTGTATTTCTCCCAAATGACAGTTAAAAAGACAGGAAGACAAGTGTGGTTCCCACATCAAAAAAATCTCAGCTCACAGTGGGAAGAAAGCTCCCCCGGGCACAGGGACTCTGGAGATGGAGACAGCCTGTCCCACGTCCTCATGGGAGGCCACCACTGACTCGTCTGGACCTGACAACAGCCTTGGACAAGTCTTCCCACTGCCACGCTAACGGGCTCTGCACCAGCTGCAGGCTGATCTTTACAGAATGTAAACCTGGGCCTGTGGCCAGGCTACTTCCAACTCCTCAGGGGCTGTGCCTGCCCCTCAGGCACAGACCAACTCCTGTGACAGGGCCCCCACCCCGCTCAGCAGGATTGTCCCTGCTCCTTTGTCCTCACCCCTGTCCACACAGGCTGGCTGCCTTGGATGTCACATGCGCCCTTTCCTGAGTCTGGACTCCCCTCCACCCTTTCCTCAGTCTACCCTTCCTCAGGGGAGCCTCTGCCGACACCCCCCTGCCAGTCTAGTTCTCACAGCACTTTGAACCTGTCACTCCACATCCTGGTGTGTGCTCCGTTCATGACCACTTGGCTCCCTCCCCACCTGACTGGGCTCCACCAGGGCAGGACCCGTGTCTTTTTGTCCCCAACTCCCACCACAGCTGCCTCTCCCGTTTCTCTCCCAACGCTTCTTAACCCACCTGGTAAATGTTGAGGTTTCCTGGGATTCTCTCCTTTGCTCTGTCCCCTCACCTGGTCAGCCTAATGCTTCAAATGCCACCCTTCTACCAATGGCTCCCTGACCTCCCCTGAGTTCCAACCCCGTAGACCTTATACAGCTATCCCCAGCAATCTCTACCCGAGTATTTCACTCACTTCTCAAGTGAAGCCCATCCCACACTGAACTCGCCCTATGCCCTTAAAAGGGGCCCCCCTCTTCCCTCCCGAACCCCAATGCACGTGCCTTTGTCCAGGCCCTAGTCACATCTTGCCTACATTATACAGTAATCTCCAAAAACTTCAACATCTATCATCGTTTGGCCTCACTTTAAATCTATCCCCCAATGCTTCCAAAGTTATCATTCTTGTTAAATTCAACTAAGGAGTCATGAATGACTCTCTATGTGAAAAAGTAAAAGCTTACCTGTAAATAGAGTCCCCTGCCACCCCGCACAGTCTCAATCCCATTCCAAACATAACTACTGTTACCAGCTAAGCTGTGCCCCTAACCTTTCTCTCTGCACTCACACGCATATTGTACCTGTAGACAGACATGCACGTGACTTTCTTTAAACATAAACAGGGATGCAACGTAACAATGCTCCGGAACTTGCTTTAGTCCTTAACGTGCCTCGGAGAGAGCTGGGCCCATCAGTGCTGCTTCTGACTGTGGAGCCGTGTGCCAGAGCAGAGGCAGGCCACAGCTCCTTCAGCTGTGCCTCTACTGAAGGGCGTTTAAACTGTTTCTGATTCATGCCAATTGTCCTAAAACATCAAGGACCATAAAATTTTTCAGCTTAAAATCCTTTAACTATTTGCAGTCACTCTTCGCACAGTTCACATCTCTAAGAGCTGCCCCAAAGCACTTTAAACATAGCCCTCACCTAGTTTTCTAAAATCCTTTCCTTTCTCGTCTCCTTCTTTCCCCATGTATATACCCTGAGCCTCAGTCAGAATGCATTATTTGCAATTCCTTAAATACACCATGTTTACTGAATGAATATATGAGAATGTAGCGCTCCTCTGAAACAACAGGAAAGAACAAGAGAGATCCTGAGAGATTCATCTGTGAAGTGACTACCGGAGAAAAATAAGCTCGTGTCGGGGCGGACTTAGCGCCCCCTTCTCTACCATTTCCTGAGGACCGAGCCCCCGGGAGGAACTTTCCCGACCAACCTCTCCAAGCTGCCTGTCCACGTACTAAGCAGACCTTGGCCGGCAGCGGCTCCCGGCCCTCAGTGCCCACTCACCTGGCCAGGAGCCTCCCGGGCTGCCTTCTTCCACCTTCCAGGGCACTTCTCCTTTCTGCAACAGGGAGATCACTTTGGGTTTGGAAAATAGGAGTCCTGCTCATAGAGAAGAAAAAGAGAAAAAAAAAATTTGGTTTTGACTGGACACAAAGAGGTATCCCAGATCTGAGTGGGAAACTCAGGGGACGGTACAAAGGGTCCCTGTGGGGTACACAAGTCGTGCCCCCACGGTGTGAGGGGTGTTAGGGAAAAGGACGGGATGTGTAGGACATGACTATGTAATAATTAGTTGCATGTTACGGAAATATGACAAACATGCAGCTTGATTAATAGGGCTTTCTACAGAAGACAAAATATGCTAGATGTACAGGCTGAATTAAAATTTGTAAACAGGTACCTATGGAAAGGATTATGTACCAAGTAGTCTGTTTAAAAGAGAAAACACTATCTCACTCCCTTTCAGTGATGGATTGTACAATGTCCATCTGGCTGGGAAGAGAACTGGCAAGTGGTAGGTCAGTGAAGAGGGCAGAGGCATGCTCTGTTGAGAGGTGAGCGAACAAACCACAGAACAACCACGGTGGGAAAGTGATGCCTGAACTATGAGGAAGTTTCTAATGTGCAACTGTGAAGACTGTCCCATCCATGGGGCAAGTCCATACCTAGAGGGGGAAAGGTTTTTAATATTTATGGAGATCCAATTTGCACGATCCTAAGACAAAACTCAGCTAAAGTTTCTGATGACCCGCGGCTTTTATCCAGGAACGTGGTGCTGAGTTATCCCCATTTCTGAATTCTGTATCTACAAGAAAGACGTCCTTACCCAGCGAGACCAGGTTACTGTAGTTCTCCAGCATCACATCCTGGTACAAGTTTCTCTGAAAAGGACGCAGCTTTCTCCACTCATCCCGCGTAAAGAACACAGCCACATCCTCGAACGTCACTGACACCTATAAAGATAAGCCATCCCAGCTCGCCCAGCACCACCCATCACAGACTGAAGGCGGCAGCAGTGGGGAGACAGACGGGCTACCATGATATGCTTCTGATATTTTCTGAAGGTTCCAAGTCATTTGTTCAACAATCAACCAGTGACAAAAACATACTGAGCAGCATAAAGTATGAACCAGGGCCTGTGTTAACCACTTTAAGAGATGTGTGGAGGCCATTAAGGCGATTAGTGGGAGTATTAATCAGAATAATCTTCTGATGACAATTGATAATATTTACAGACTTAAAAAGTCATCCATGGTAGTGTTATTAATAAATACATAAAGCAGGTTCTATATTAGTGTGTAGTTTGTTCCCATTTTTGAAAAAAAGTATACACATATATAGAAGTTGATGCTGAGAGATGTATAACAAAGGATTGACAGTGATTATCTCCAGATGGTGGGGTTAAGGATAATATTACTTTTTCTGTATATTGATAAAAAAATTTACATACAAATACATATGTATATGCACACATATACACATACATATATAAATCTATTAACATATATATGTACATGTACGCACATACATGTACATATGTCATATTTTACTCTCTAAAATTTTTACCATGATCATGCAATATTTTATAAGAAAAGGCATTAAATTATTTGCCTATAGGGGAAGAATACAAGAAATGATATTTACTCTCAAAGAATTTACAATCCAACTGGTACAGGAAAAAACACATGAAATGACTTGAACAATGGGCCAGCCGAGTGGCTCAGTTGGTTAAGAGCGCGAGCTCTGAGCAACAGCATCGCTGGTTCCATTCCCACATGGGTCAGTGAGCTGTGCTTGAGCTGAGCTGCCACTGAGCTGCCAACAGGTGGCAGAATGGCTCAGCTGGTGAGAGCACGTGCTCCTAACAACAAGGTTGCCGGTTCAACTCCTGCATGGGATGGTGGACTGTGTTCCCCCGCCGGCGCTCCCCCTCACCCCATTGCAACTAAGATTGAATATGGCAACTTGAGCTGAGCTGCTGCGATCTGTCAACAGCTGGCAAGATGGTGGTTGGACTTGGAGCTAAGCTAGCTGCGCCCTCTACAACTAAGACTGAAGGACAACAGCTTGGCTGTTCCCCTTCCCCAACTCCCCAATGCTGTTCCCCTCCCCTAAATCCCCAATAAAATCTTTAAAAATAATAATAATAATAATTTGAACAATGAAAGAGTAGCTGGACAGGACTGTACACCATCTCTTAGCTCAGTCCTCATTTTAGAACAACACAAGGTCTGGGGCAGTCAAGACCCCAGGTCACCTAATTTATTAGTGGCAAAGGCGGGACAATAATTAAAGTTTTCTTCTAACCCAGTCCTTGATATAGGCTATCTGGTCTTAAAGGTCCTGTCAGTGACTTTTACACACAGATTCACCCAGTACTGATGAATGGGCAGCAGGCGAGATTAGCAAGAATGGTTAGCAAGTACCGGATTCAATGACGCATGGGATGGAGGAGATTCTGGGCAAGAGAACAACTTGGCTCCGTTGGAACAGAGTGGGAAAGTCTCAGAGAAAAACAGCCTAAAAATACAATGGGAGGCTCTGGCTGTAGCCTCAGATCAAACACCAGCACATTCTATATGTCCAAAGATGACATCAGCGTGCAGAAGAGCCTGGTACCACGTGCTGGTCTGCCTGTGTTCTGAAAGATCATAACGACGACCATGAACTTAGAGGACACGCACACTTGGGTTTGAATCCAGGTTACTTGACTTCTTTGAGCCTCAGTTTCCTCACATGTAAAATGGGGATAATAATCGGTTATGAGAGTGAGAACAACAATAAAGCCCTCAGGACATTCCCCAGCAACATTACCTGTTATTGTTAGATGAAAATGAGACAAGTATTTTCTGGGTCTTAGGAACACTGTAAAGCAGCTTTTATCTATCAACATTAATAGTATTATTACTAGAAAAATATTGTTCAGCCACCTCAACAGCCACATATCATGATGCCCAATCCTGATCTAAACACTTTCCATGCACTAACTTATGTGATCCTCTCACCTAACCTATGAGGTAAGTACTGTTGTTATTTCCATTTTATAGGTGAGGAAACTGAGGCAGACAGAGATGGAGGTATTTGCCTAAGGCCCATAAATGGCAATGGAGGACATGGGTTCAAACCCGTCCATCTGGCTCAAAAGCCCCGTTTCCTAACCACTGTATATACTGTCTCTCCAGGACTGATATCCCATGAAACACTCCCTGCCATTTCCTGAGGGGTCTTCTCTCTGCCCTCGGAGTCAAAAGACCTCTTCAACAGTGTCCCTTCCAACATGGCTACCTTTGTTCATACACTGGCTCACCAGATGGGGGTCCCTCCCTCATTCTCACACATAAATGGGAGGTCAAGATCAGTTTTCAAGAGAGTGGTGTAATCAAGGCACATAATCCACAAAGTTAAGAGGGACAAAAAACTAAAACCTATTGGTTGGAGAAGCCTAGGGAAACTATCACGAGGGTTCTCAGGGGTGGAAAGAAAAAGAAAAGCATTCTTGCCAACGGTAGGGAGGGAGATATGGGTGAGCCAAGGAGGCGGGGCCAGAAAGGAACTCTGCCAAGTGTGATGTTTGTTTGTTTTGTCTGCTAGTGATATAAGACTCATGGTATCTTACCTGTCAAATTAGTAATCACACAGTGAATAGAGTTTAATGAATAAAAAAGTGCCTATTAGGAAAAGAAAAGGGAAACACTAGACATGGATTGCGGCAGAGAAGGCAAGCATTCATTACACAGTCCACCATCCACAGGGAAAAGGACTTGGGCTCCAAATTCTGGAGAAGATTGTACTGGGGAAGAGAACTTCAGTTTGAGGGAAAACAAACACACACACACACACACACACACACACACACACACACACACACACACACACACGCCATCTGTCCCTAAGACCCGAGATATTATAATACAATGAAGTTACCTGGGACCTTGCTTCCCCCTGTTCAGTAGCCATGTCCTCTTTCTGGGTTCTTCCCCGGAGGGTGGGTGCAGTCTCCGGAAGGCAGATCTGAAAGAAAAAGGGAGTCAGGAGGGAGAAGCCCCTTCTCTCCTCCCCTCAGAATCACCAGCTCTCCAATCCTTACACCACCTGAGAATGACGCCGTGTGCCCTCAGAGAGGGAGGTCAGGAGGAGTTAGGAGCAGACAGGACCAGAGAGAAGGGCTGGGCCGTCCTGGTCCAGGCCCCAGCTCTTCCCCTGGCTCAGAGAACGAGGACCTAGAACTCGCTGGAGCAGCGGCGGCGACTCACTGAGCCAGGAACGGCCCACAACGTTTAGACCCACTGCACTGACGGCACTGTCAGCACCCCCATTTTATCGGTCAGGAAACTGAGCGCAGAGTGGGAGCAACGTGCTCACACAGCCGGTGAGGGTGCACGGGTTTCCCACCACGGGGCGCTCCCTCTCGAGCGCCCACTCCAACCTCACTGCGTGCGAGCGACATTTCTCCACCACAAGATGTTCCCACCAATTCCTCCCTCCTCTGTCAAGGAATCAATTTCCAGATATTTGGAGAAAACTGCTTCGGAAAGGGTTAACAACAGCTTTCCTATGGCGGGGAGGAGTTGCTGTCTGACGAATGGGCACAGAAACCAAAGACCTGGGTTCCAGTGTTGGCTCTGCCATTGGGGGAAGCCATCAACTCACTCCTCGCGGAAAACAGATCATTACGCCTGCCACCCCGGAGGGTGTGGAGAGGAAATACATTTCCTGACGTTCACTGACAGCCGGTAGGTAACAAATTAAAACGCCGGCAGGGGCCGAGCAGGTAGCGCGCTGGGAACGGTCGGGAAGAAGCAGGAGGGTGGCGGGACTGGGGTCAGTGGGGACTAAGTGCCCGACCTGCCGCGTTCAGCCTGCGGAACGGATCGTAGGAGGCAGGCGGACAGAGCCTGGGTGCCCGGCCCTTGGCCCACCCGCGCCCACAAAGGCCCGGCTCGCGCCTCTCGGGCCTGTGCCCTGCATCCTCTCGAGGCCCCAGTCCTTGCCGCACCCCGCCTACCCTCCGCTGCTCACCTCGTCCAGGCCGCAGGGGTTCCGGAGGCCGTGCCTCCGCCGGCCGCGCTCCGCAGGTGAGAGGCTCCGGAACTGCCCCTGCGGGGCAGCAGCCTCGGGTCTGAACTCCTCCTGGGCTCAGGCCCAAAAGCCGCTCACTCCGGCGGCAAAAGCCCCGCGCCCCACGCAGGCTCGGGAGGGGCAGGGCAGGGGGCGGGTTAGGGGCTGCCGCTAATGCCTCTGGGAAATGTAGTCCACGCGATGACCCAAGGATTCTGGGAAGTGTAATTCTCCGCGCTGATCTGTGAGGCGGGGTTCTTGACGAGCCTGTCGCGTGCCCAGACCCCACTTCTGGGCTCGGCCCTGCGTGGGCTGCATGGCCCTGGATTTCCGGTTCCTGGTGAAAGAAAAGGAGGTTCGAGGAGGGCATTATCTTGTAGCTGTGCATCTGCGTAGTGATGGTAAGGCTACTAGATACTCGCCAAGAATAAACCTATTTCTCAAGTCATTCAACGACAGTGTCTAGCACCTGTTACGTGCCAAGCACTGTTGTAAACTGTTGGAAATGTGTCCGCGAACAAAACAAAGATCATTGATTATTGCTCTCGAGAACTTTTTGGGGAGGTAGGGAGCAGAAAAAAACGCCATGAACATAATTATGTAACCTTGTAGAAGAGAACTATGACGGGGAAAAAGCGAGAGAACAGGGTCTTGGGGATTTGGGGTCCATTTGGGAGTCAGTAGGGTGGCCTCCGCAGGCCTCACTGAGAACGTGAGACTGGAGGGAAGAGCCCAAGGCGGTGTGGGAGGGCAGGGGCGTTCCAGGCTCCGAAAAACCAACAGATAATTTTTAAAATTTTACTAAAGGAACACATGTCCCACTTAAAAAGTTGATGAGAAAAATGCACTTGATGCCACGACACAGAAATAAGCAGTTAACATTTTGGTGAACGTCTTTTAACAGACTTTTGAATTCCATATTAATCTCTCAATCACTGCCGCACTCGTTTTATAAAAATGTAATATTGCAAATAGCAATTGTAACTTATCTTGGTTTTTACCCCCACTTAAGAATATACCTTGAACATTTGAATTTGTCAATAAATATTGCCCCTCAGTAGTATTTTTAATGGCTTCAGTGCATGCCATTGCATCTAATTAACTTTTTTTTGTTAAATATATTTAAACTAAACTTATTTAAATATATTTAACTAAACCCCTATTATTTGTTATATTCCAGTTCTTTGCTCCATTAATATATCCTTGCAGCTATATCTTAGAAGATTATTTTCTTAGTTTAAGTTACTTGAAATTGAATTGCTGGATCAAGGACTGGTAGAATTTCAAACACATTGCCTAGCTGCCTTCCTGGAAGATTTTACAATTTGTATTTACATAAGCAGTTCATGAAAATATGTGCCTAATATCCATGCCCCTTTTGGGTTTTATCTTTTTAGTGCTTTTTTAAAAATTAAGTTTATTGGGGTGACATTGGTTAATAAAATAATATGGGTTTCAAGTGTACAAATCTATAATACATCATCTATATATTGCATTTTGTATTCACCACGCAGAGTTAGTTCTCCTTCCATCACCATATATTTGACCCCCTTTATCCTTTTCTACCTCCCCCCTCCCCATTTATCTTCTGGTAACCACTAAACCAGCTGTTCTCAACCTGTGAGTCGCAACCCCTTTGGTGGTTGAACGACTCTTTCACAGGGGTCACCTTAGACCATCGGAAAACAAAAAGATATTTACATTACGATTCATAACAGTAGCAAAATTACAGTTATAGAGTAGCAACGAAAATAATTTTATGGTTG